TTTTTCTACTTCCTTTGTAGGAAAATCCGATTCTTTCATGTTCCCAATCCTCTCCAGACATGTCGTGCTAAAATTCAAAGCAGTGAACGCATCTTTGGCGTGCTTGATATAGTCATCGAACGTGACTTTATTAATTTGAGGGCTGGATGTATGACAAAGAGTGTTTCGTAAAAGACGAAGCTGATCAATGGCAAGTGCAATCGTCTCATTTGCATCTCCGCTCGAGCTCCTCACGGTAGAGTGGAATGGACCAGGGACTGGCTTTCGTCGTTTTAAATACATTTCTCCAAGCGTCTTTTTCTTTCCTGTGCTGTCTGGTAGCGCAAATGTTCTTGCATACAGAGTGGCTTGAAATAGTGCAGTGCAGTCCCACTCTTTAAATGAGTTGTTCGTGGGGATTTTTGTGTTTGGAGCCTCATTGCTGTAGAGTATATTGCGTACAAGAGGCGAGTCATCCCAACTTGGTGCAACTCTGGTGTCCCACATGTGTACAAAGATGCTACGCAAAGCATCTGGGAATTCCTTTAGGACAAACGACGCAAACTTGAAGTAGTTCAGGTCTTTTTCACAATACGGCTGCATAGACATATTGGCTGACCTTCTGAGTAAAAATGACACAGAAAAAAAATAACATAAAAAATCTGAGACAAGGGAAAACATCGATAAGACACATGTTCAGAGCAAACAGATCTGACTTGTAAATTTAATTAACGTGTAACTTGTTACAGTTTACAACGCAATTAATGTTTCACAAAACTCCGGTAGGGTTGGGCGATATTTAACAAATGATATCATGATTATCGTCTAGAAAATTAATATGATATTCGATAATATCGAGATAAATGTATTAAAAACAATGGCCGTAGTTTCAATTTTAGATATAGCTAAGGGTTTTCTAGAGATGAAAATTTGAAATGTCAATTTTATAAATTTATGTAGATGCCCCAAGTCCTCAATTATAGAAAATATACAGTAAAGAAACAGATTAACCTAACTGATTAAGCTATACATCAGTAACTAACAAGACACATCAGTTTATATCATATATTATTTCAATCAACAAATTGAACTTAATAGTTAATATCCAAGTAAAACATGTAAAATATCCGATTATCTAAGTAAAAGTTTTATTTCATGGTTACATATAAATCTTAGCTGTGCACCGCAATCGCGGCAAAGTTGCAAATTTCATAGTATACCCTTGAGGAATTAAAAGAACTGTCTTGGATTTTGTGAAAACGATGTGCGCATGGCAAACAATTCAATATCACAATAGTCATTGACCATAACGATTATTACGATATGTCGTCGATCATGTTTGTTCGATAATCATGAGTGAAAATATCGCGATAATATCGTCAACCCTACTAGGCCGGAGAGTCGAAACGGTGGGTTGCGAACTGTAACTTCTTTAATTAAGTTACGTTCATTAAATGTGAAAGGCCAGAATGAGATTGTATAATATAAAGGCGGTATGCGAACAGGTTCCATGGGAACATGCGAACAGGTTCCATGGCCCACTACATGGGCTGTACTGAATCAACCGTGAGAACCAATAAATTTTACACAATTTTATTTCAAATACATATTGCGACGATAATAACGCGACTAAGGATTATATAGCAACTACACTCAACCACCACTAACTTCTAGATACATGGTGATATTTACATTTTAATTTAATTTTAGAGGAAGAAAATAGCCATAAGGTCACGTTATTTAAGAAATAGAAAACGAATCGCTTGCGTTTGTGGTGTGATATGACACGAGGGGAATGTTAGGAGAATACGAGAGAAGCGTGTACAACACGAGGCCGAGTGTTTTCTCGAATATTCTCCCAGGAAGTGCATTGTCGCACTATAAACAAACGAAAAGAGTTTTGCCATTTCTTTTATAATATACAGTACGTGTAAGATATTACATAGTAAACAATTTTGCTTAAAAGATTGATTTTGAAATTCTCCTAACATGTACTCAGTGACGTCACGCGCATGCTTTTCCTGGCGCCTTAATTTTTAGGCCCGCGAAGGAGCCGACAGGTCAACACTTTTTCATCAACCAAACTGACCTGACGTCATTTTCGCAAGATGGAAGTGTTAAATGGCTATGTAACCAACCCTACCCTTACTCTAACCCCAACCCTGACTCTAACCCTAACCCCAACCCTAACCAAAATAATAAAGTAAATCCAAAAAGAATCAACTTTAGAAATTGATCAAATGACGTAACTTTAGTTTGATGGTTGGAAATGAGTGACAACAAGAGCAAGAACAATACTAATTTTGATGCTAAAGTTGCGGAAAAAACTGTTTAAAATGCTGGCATGGAAATAAAAAAATTCCAGCGATATACAGACTAATTTGCTAATGTTTTCAGCATCTGGACTGCGGCATGGGCGTACGGGAAGGAAAAAATGGGGGCCGGGCGGAAAGAAATTTGCCCGACTTTTTCTAATTGTGCCCGAGTTGTCAAAAAAATTTTCCGGAGAAACTTTCCAAAATTGTTGTCAACGAGGGTGAGGAGTGATTACGAAAAATTGCTATTTATTAGATGGCATATTTCCCATAAAATTGACAGAATATCCCACAAAATTGACAGAATTTTCCACAAAATTGACAGAATTTGTCCTATTTATTTTTACAATAAGCCAATATTGCCCGCCTGTGAAGCGAATATTCAGTCCCAACTGGCTTTGTTTGCCCAACAAACTGGGGGGGGGGCTTTATATTACAGACGGTAGTTTTTCGCGTTTTTTGCCTTGGCTACGCTACCGGGCCAATTTTACAATCACAAAGATAGAAGCATACAAGAAGAATTTTGAGCAAAAAATTGGAGTATTATGGCTTTATAACGCCGCGAAACGGGATTTACAACTCTGAAGGAGTGCAGATCCTCAGACTTTGTTTATCAACACGAGCTCGTTTTGCTACTTTCATACAAAATCAACTTAAAATATACAAGAATTGCTGTTACTGGACGAATATTTTCGGGAAATTTGAAAAAATGAAGCAGCTACATTGTGAACGAAAGCGTACTGAGGTTAGTTTTAAAATACCTTGAGGCTACTTTTATAATTATATGAATTAAAATAACATATATATTGAGTCATTGTTTATAAGGCCTGTTCAAAACGCCGAATTTACATATGCCGAATGCATTCAAAACATTAGATAATCAGCTGAAATGACTCATTATCCATTAGAACAGGCTTAATTTGGGACTAAAAATATTTGATTTTCACTTGTTTTCCTACTTTAAAGTTTAAAACATATAAAACTTCTCGACAAGGCGCCGAGGAAAGCTCTTGATATTTAAAACTGTTCCTTATAATTTCATATAAATATTATAACGGTAGTCTCAAGAGTCAAGGAATTTGAAAACTATTTAAACCTCAGTACGCTTTTGTTCACAATGTAGCTGTTTCATTTCTTCAAATTTCCTGAGAATATTCGTCCAGTACAGTAACAGTAATTCCTGTATATTTTGAGTTGATTTTGTATGAAAGTAGCAAAACGAGCTCGTGTTGATAAACAAAGTCTGAGGCTCTCCACTCCTTCAGAGTTGTAAATCCCGTTTCGCGGCATTATAAAGCCATAATACTCCAACTTTTTTGCTCAAAATTCTTCTTGTATGCTTCTATCTTTGTGATTGTAAAATTGGCCCGGTCGGAAACGTAGCCAAGGCAAAAAACGCGAAAAACTACCGTCTGTAATACAAATCTATACAAAAGTGGGGCCCCAGAATCGGGTGGCGGCCGGTGACTTCCGGCTTCACTTTTGTATACTATAGATGCGTTATCCAGTCTTATTTCTGATCAGTGTAATTAACCCGTTCAAGAAAGAACACGTGAAAATCAATGCGTAGCCATTGTTAGTACAGATTTGCCCTTGACTGATAATACTCTTTAGTATAAATTTTGCATATCAAATGAGCTTTCGCGCGTTCTGATTGGCTAGTTGACTAGTAAATCTGCGGCATTATTTACTTGCAGACTAGTAAATAATGCTTTTCAAAAAGAATTTTTCGGCAAATTTCGTTTCAAAATCGACAAAATATTGAAAAAATCGTCCCACAAAACGAAAAGAGCACAAAATGTTGTATTTAACTTGAAAGGTAGGATTTCTCTATTAGTCCGTGTGCTGTCACCTCGAAAAGTGCCTAGAAAACAATTTTCATTAAGCATGTCTTGGAACTGAAATATCTTTATGGGAACTAACACTTTTGAACACGCTCGAAAAGTTCCCACTCCGTAGACCCGCAGTTTTTTCACAAAATGCTATTTTATCTTCACTAATTTCACAGCAAATTTTTTCATTGTTCAACGTCACGGATCGATGACGATACACTATTATGTCACTCAAAAGGACCAATTTCTATTAACCATTCTTCCTTTTAACAAAAAACCGGTTTTGCTCGAATCATTTTGAGTTATGTAATCTTATGCGTGTTGGACGTAAACAACATATCTTGTCTACAACTTTGAGAAGGTACAGATAACGCTTTCTAAAACCCTCAGTTCTAGAGATATCTCTATAAAATCACAAGGACATTAATGTCAAGTCTTTTAGCTATGTCACTGGCCAGAAAAGTAACTAATTTAATGCGATCAAGATATTTAAAACAAAAGTAACGCAAAGCCAACGTAACGGCAAAGACAACGTTAAAACGAAATATTGTCGAATGATTGCAGGTAGAAGACTTACGACAGGATCAATCTTAAATAACCTTAAGCTATAAAAATAAATGTT